ATTTGCTGTTAAAAATAACACTATCTATATTTATAGCGCTAGTAAAAATACGTTTTTTCCCGCCAACTCAAGGAAAGGTGAAATCAGGACTAGCAGAGCCATCTATGGGCAGAGATATTTCACAAAAATATAAAAAATGAGTACTGCATTTCCCCCATTGTTTGTTCATTTTCCCCGGCGGCAATGGGTTAATCAAGTAAAATATAAAAGACAAAAACATAAAATCAGGATAAAAAAGGTCAGAGAAACGGCGAAAAAGATAAGAGAGTATGAAAAATAGAAGGAATGAGAGAAGAATCAGGAAAAAAAAAAGTGAAATAGAGCGAGAAAGAAAGATCGAGAATACGAGTGAAAATTTGAATTGAGAAAGAATCAAGAGAAAAGGTGTGAAGAAGTTGATAGAAAATGTGAAAAAATCAACAGCAAAAGTGAAAAAATAAGACAGAAAAAGTTAAGATAAAGAGTGAAAAAGCCAAGAGAGAGTGCAAAAAATGAGAAAGAATTACGAGAGAAAGAATGAAAAAAATGAAGATAAAAAATTAAAGAATAACAACTAGAGAGAAAGCGTGAAAAATAAAAGAAAACAGGAGATAGCGAAAAAAAATAAAGAAGAAAGAATGTGAAAAATATATATAAAGAGAAGAAAACAAAAGATTAGAAGTATAAAAAAAATCAAAAGACCAAAACGAAGTTGTGGAACCAACCCGAAATAAACGAGAAAGGAATTCGTACCTTATATTGAGAACATTAAGAAGTTTGAAGTACACACACAAAACACTCTCCTCCTGAACCGACGCCCTCAGGACACTCACCTCCCAAGCAGGCAGATGACAGTGACGAAAATAACGGAAAGAAATAACAAGGCAAAGAGAGCCCCATAGGCTGCCTTGTTTGCCATGATAGCCTCAGTAACGTCTGGTTTAACCTTAACACGGCGCTCGGTCGCTGTTCTGGAGAAACGAAATGTTGTGAATTAAAAGTAGGCTGCAGGTGTTATCTGTTATCATGGCTAGATTGTGGTATTTGCTGTGGTATTTTCGATAAAAAAATAGAAATGATTTTAGTATAATTGCCGCCAATACTCAAACTGTTAACCAAAGTAAATGACCACATATATATCTAGTTTATTATATCCTCCAATATTGATAATTATGATACGATGATTAACTGACTAATACAGCTGTAATCCTGTAAGTTGCAACGTGCCTTTGACATTGGTGTTTGGAATACGAAGAATAAACATAAAATTAGTTACAAATGGTTATTACTAAAATCATGCTTAGTGTGCATCACAAGGCATGTAGGTATCAGGCATTTGGGAACGTGAGAATTTAATCACATGTCGTATTATAAAAGAGGCACAGAGGATCTTTATCGTTGGGAGATAATAATCCGGGATGTTACGCAGTCAAGACAGTTCATTGTTAGGCAGCAGACTCGCGCTTGTGTATATATAGTTGCATGTATGCTTTGTAATTCCTACATATGCATTTATTCATGCATGTGTATATATGCCTACCTACCTACCTACGTACATACATACATGTATACATTTGTACATGCATACACACGCACATGCACATGATGTACATACACACACAAACACACACACACACACACACACACATATATATATATATATATATATATTTATATATATATGATATGATATATATATATGTACATATATATGTACATATATATTGTACACACACACATGCGCGCACGCACACATAAACACATGATATACATATACATATATATGTATATGATATATATATATATATATATACTGTACACACACACATACACACGCACATATATATATATGTATATACTCATAATTATATGTGTTGTACATACCATTGTATTTATACATCCTTTACGGGTAGGTAAGTGTTTGTGAAGGTTTACGCTACAGTCAGTTGCTTCAATAAGTAGCTGGGTCTGCCAATTCTAAATTGCTTAACCCATTCGCGCCGGGTGTCACGTATACGTGACATGCCCACTGTGAGTTTACTTGTTTGATTGTTTTACCCATAGATGGCTACACATGTACTTGTACTGCCTGTCTCGCCCGTTTACCCTTTTCTTTAATTTACTTTATCTTATTTTGCTGTTACTAATGTTTATAACATTATAGTAATTATGATGTTTATAATAAAAATAACCATCGATATTCATATCACTAGTAAAGAATACATTTTCCCTCCAAATAAATTCAGGTAAAACCCATTCCCCGTCGCGAATGGGTTTAACCCATTCGCACCGGGTAAAAATGAACAAAAAATGGGGAAAAAGCTGTGTTCATTTTTTATATTTTTTTGTGAAATGTCTCTACACATATATGGCTCTGCCTTACCTGATTTCACCTTTACTTGAATTGGCGGGAAAACGTATTTTTTACTAGTGCTATGAATATCAGTGGTGTTATTTTTTATTATAAACATTATAATTACTATAATGTTATAAACATTAGTAATAGCAAAATAAGAAAACG